ATTTTCTCAAAGAGTTTCTGAATCTTTTAAAAGATAAAAACATAGGAAGTTTTCTCCAAGTTTCTGAACATTTCTTAAAGTTTCTAAAGAGTTTTGGCTTTAAAAACATGTCCGATAATGCTAACCTTTTAGAAGTTTCGGTGCTACATGGATTATTGTTGAAACAAAACTCCCCAAGCTTACCTTAATTGTGTGGGGTTTAGCTTGTTTCTTTTTCTTTCCCAATCCTTGAAATTACATGGGTTTATGTTTGGTTCTTTTTATTTTCCGATCCAAGAAGTTATGAAACGGGATGATGGACTAGAGGAAGCGAAGCGAAGTGTTACGCATAAAATTACTTATATGGTACATGTGAATGCCTCTGTTGATTGCACTAAATTGTGATTCCTCTGTTCATATCTCTGCAAATCACAAAGAGAATGGGCCACAAACTCAATTTTTGCGCTTTAAGTGTTTAAGAAGTCACTTCAGTATATATGTCTTGTATATGCATTTATAACATATACAAGGTTGTATATACGTCTTGTATATGCAGTTTGTATATTTCCCATTGAACAAGGTTGTTAGTTTTCCTTGATATATTCAAGAAAAGATATGAACTGCTAGATTGGGATTTGGCCTTTTTTTTAATGCATATAGAATATCAAGTATCAACGGATACAAGACATTCCAGTTATTGACACATTTCTGTTGTAGGCTGCAAAAGAATTAGAGTCAGAACTGAAGAAGGAGACTGAATCTTCAGAGGAGCCTCCTGCTGATAAGATTACAGCAGTCGGTGAAGAAGAGAAACAAGAGGCTAAAGTCCCGAGCATGAAGGAGCTCTCACAAGTTTGAGACATGCTAAGTAATCAGTACTTGTTGTAGCTGCTACTTATTTTCGCATGCACGAGTCCTCCATTATGATATTAGTCGTGTCGAAATTATTGTTATTGATGTTCTTGGTTCAGTCCCATCAGAAGAGGGATTAGAGAGTCTGCTCCGTCACGTCAACTCACATTCATATTTAGAATGGGAATAGCACTGTTTTAATATATTTTTGGATATTTCGTCATTGATGGATCCTTAATAAGCCCCTGTTTGATAACCATTTTTCTATAAAAAAATACATTCTTTGTGTCAAATCACACATTTTTTGTGTCTCTTTCCAGCCATGGACTCCATTTGATGTGAAAGCAAAAATGTATTATTTGAAGAAAGGACTCCCAAACGGAGCCTAAATAAAAGTTGGCATAATGAATCATCGAAGGCAATAGTTTTCTGAATAAGTTGGAAGAATTGTGTTTCGCTCTTTTTGTTCAATAATCCATGGCTGGCTCCTTTAGATTCTTTATTATCCCCCTGAATCAGATTTTTCTCCTTTGGCTGCCAATACCACCACAATATTTTGTACATTTCTCTCTCTCAAGCATCCAATTCGGATTATAAAAAATAGATTTTTACCATATTTTGATAAAAGTTGATGAAATATGAGATTAAAAAATTTATAAAAGATGTGAGTTCTATTAAATGTGTGACTAAAAATAAGTTCGATGAAAAATGAATTTAGAAAATATGGACCAAATATGTGCTTAATAATAATGTATAGTAATATTTTTCACACCACGTGACCTAATGATGAATGATGAAAAGAGAGTGCTCGAAAAATTATCGCAACAAATGCTAATAGATTTAAGCACGACAAAAGAAAAATATACGTGGAAAAAATATTTTATGCAAACAAAATCTACTATTTGTGATTAAAACCAAAAAGATCTACCTCATTTGGTATAAAAATGAAGGCAAGTTCACCTTTATTTCAACCATTTAAATGCATTGAAGAATATACTTCCTGTTCAATATTTGATGTACCATTCAAGTTAAAACCCATAAATTAGGTTACAAATCTTTTCCTTAAAGCATTAAGACATAATTAAGGAATTTCTATTACATAAACCAATAGAAGTTGGTGAAGGCCTTTCTGTCAAGATCTTCAACATAGACTTAATGTTTTCCTGGTCCACCACGGATTCGCTTCTGCAGATGTTCCAAGCTAGCCACTCGCTGCATAGAAACAGTCATTCCGGCATCGTCCACCCTGACTTCTGTTGCAGAATTCTGCTCTATGTTATCCACCGGAGGAATATCCACCGAACTGTTTTGAACCCTATGATCATTTGTCGGCAGGTGGTTATCAGGAGGAGGTTGATAATAATGCTGTCTTGAGACATCTTGCACTGGTACAGCAGCATCTGCTAATGTATCGGAACTAGCACCGAAAGATGGCATAGCCATCGTGGATATTTCAGACATGGCTTGGAACAGAGGGTTCAATCCGGTAACCCTTTTGACAGTCTCTTCTGCCATTTTCACCTGTTAAAGAAAGCAAGATTATCTATTAGACTTGGATACCAGACTCGAGTAATACAGATCTGCAAACACAACTACACAAGTCATACAATAAAAAGTAAAATGATATAAGAATATATAGAGAAATAAAGTGCATTGGAACCCATTGTTATAGACCCGAATATGATTAAAAAAAAAACAGAACGGATAAATTTAAGAGCATCAGTTTTCATACACGTGATGCACCAGTAAGATGATACTAGATTTTTCCCCATTATTATTTCTCTTTCTTGAGAAAATGCTATGGTTTTTCTAATTTAAACGCTCCTTTTGAACTAACCAGAAATGATTCACAAGAATAAAATGGCACAACACCTGTTTTACTCACCTTTGCTCTCAATGTCTCAACATCAGCTTTCAGAACTCTATTGTCAACAGCTGCTTCACTGTACTTCTGATTTATGTGAGAGAGGCGCTTTAATAAAGAAGAGTTTTCCATGTTTAGTTGAGATACCTAGGCAGTAGCACGGGTAAGAAATGACCAGAGGATAGCCAAAAGGTAGATGAAGGTGATGACTGATGAGAGTAGAGAATATACCTGTGTTTCGAGCTCCGTCAAATGGGCTTGCTTTCTTCTTCTCGAGCGCCTAGCAGATTCTCTATTTGAGAGCATCCTGAAAACAAATAAATGCACTATAAGATGACTGAACTTAGTTTGAAACTAGTATATGCCACATTCTATGCAAATCATCACAAAAATTAATAGGAAACAATCACATTGTAAAATGGAAAATAAACATAGATAACAAGGTAAACTAATTATTGGTTAATAATTATTGAAGCAAGTCTATTTGTCAATTTATTGTTCAATGGTACACATGCTTTTATTCTCATAATCATAATTGAAGATCATTATTGAGTAATAGAATATCGAACATGATTAATGAGTTCAATATAAAATAAAACCAGACTTCCCATGGTTGAAAAACATAAGGAAAATTTAACACGAGTATGCATGTTCTAATTCGCATCTCTCAAGATATGAAATATTTCGAACAATAACTTTGGACATTATTAAATATCTGCACTCCAAGCAATAGGGTACGAGTATTCTGGCATTTATTGCATTTTTTTTTCATATTTTATTAGAATTTTTAAATCATATGATAGGATGCATAGCAGTGGCTCCTTTATTCCGACGTTGGTCTTTCTTCTTGTAAATATTTCCATTCTTTTTAAGAAATAAATGCAACAATTCCGAAAAATAGATTGGCTAGGTGTTCTTGAATAACAATTGGCTGAGTGGTATGTTATAAAAACTTGTTATGGATAATACAGAAAGGATATTCAAGTGGAAATAACTGTCTTTCAGCAAATTTGGAAATCCCAACCCCACCGACCGCACAACACAACACAACACAATAGAAAAAGATGGAGTACGAGTACCTGTACAATCCTCTCAGGTGATAAAGTAAAACTAATGAATTACTTACTATATGAGCCAGAATTAAAATAAAAACACAATACATAGTTTTTTCAATTTTCTCTCTGTATCTCCATTTCTTCTCTGCCTATATATTTATCTCTTACATAGAATCTCAAATCTGTTAATATAATCTGTGTATAGCCAACTAAATTTCTCTTATCTGTGTGATGACCATATAATTTCACATTTACTTTACTGAAGAGTTAGTCGCCTGGGAGCTTCCTCAACTGTTGGCTGCAAAGGCAGCATTAGGAACCTTCTGCCAACCACCGGTCACAACATCTTCCTCATGTCCCCACTATTATTATTAGATTTGTAATTCATTACTGGATTGGTGAAGCAAGACACACATATGTACAACCACACACAAAAAGAGAGAATCCTTCTTCAGAGAGGAGACTAGTAAGATTTTATTTTCAAGCTCTCAAAGTGTAGATTATTCATACAATCAATTCTCTTATATTGTATTCATCTAATATGTTAGCCAAATAACGGTTAAGCTGTTACTACCTTCTCATGCGTTTTGCATCTGTAGGGTCCATATTCTCAGTTGTTTCTGCATCTCCCTCAGCTTCATCATCATCTGACTGGTCCCCAGATGATCCACTAGTTGTTGACTTCACCTGGGTCACAGATTTTCTTGGCATTGCAGGGAGGGAAGGTACACCAATTGGTACACTAGAGTCCTTATCTTTTCCTCTCGATAAACCCCGACCAGCTGTTATAGAGGTACAAGACCCAAATAACAAACAATGTAAGAAACAGTTTTTAACCTTCACTGTATTTTCTACACCAAGCCATAGTCATTTATGCCTTGTAATTAATTCCTTGGCACCCGATGTTAAAAAAAACACGGTCTCATGGAGCTTGTACTGGTTTATTATATTGTTTTACTCGTCAAAAGTAGATATGTATTCAATAGGAAAGTGCTTCAATCAAAAGGATTTCTAGATGACTTAACAATCTAATATTAAGCCTGAATGCATAAATTGAAAGATGATCATTCGTGGATAAGAAGAAATGAAGAAGTCAAAAAGATTTCGGTTGTCAACATTGCATATCGGGGGATGGTAGAAAATGTAAATTGTAAAGTTGGTTAGTGTTCGGCTAAGTTTAACAACATACACTGAAACTTGAAGGTCCTATATATAGAGGATTTAACATCCAACTTCGAAGCGTAAATTTTACAATAATCCCAAATGTGCTCACCAAATATAAACAATAACCAAAAGACAGATGAAGTGATGCATCGAGATGGACTAAGAGAAACCAACATAAAGGTTTTGGCAAATACATCAAGTGCATTGTTGCAGTAAAACGAACAGAAAGAGCATACAAATCAACCTTGGAGTAGAGAAAAAGCCAAAGTCTAAATTAACAATTCTCTGTATGATTAAGAAAATTCACATTGTAACAACAATGAGACAACGTTCATAAAGTTACTAGAGTATAATCGGTTTCTGAACCCAAGGACTTCACCACATAGAGGTTCCAACATACATCTTTGGACCAATTTTAAACCCAAAGCTTATGTCATTAGATCTTAGGTTCAACCATGTAAGTCCACAGTTTACGCTCTTAGTTTGAATAAGATAGTCTTACTTTTAGTTGATATAATGTTACTTTTAGTGGCATATATCATTCAACAATAGCTCTGCATAACACAAGAAAATCATGTAAAGAACTTTAAAGGATATTAGTAATGTAATAAGGATGAAGTCTCATTCAAATAGTAATGTGATTAATGTCCCTCCTTTGCTCCCTATTTGAGACCACTAAGGTTGTAAGGCTAGCTCTTGATTTATAGAGAACTGCTGAGTAGCTTCATTAGCAATATCAATCCACTTAGGCATTTAAAATATAGCTCTATCAAAAGCACTTAAGTTTATATGAAATCAGCATTATTCACAAAAAGACCATTTAACCTCTGGCCATCAGTTTCATACAGAACTCTTACTAATCCATGTAACATGAATACATTGCAAGTGTTTAAGAAAAGGAGAAAATTAAAATTTAATCAGCTACCACACCACAAGAGACAAGGTTTAACAGTGACAACATTAAATTTAATGCGAATAGTACAAGTGGAGATGAAAATAGCCAGGAATTTGAAAAGCAATGAGAATCAATTGGAGCAAAATCTAAATTATTAGCTCTATTTATGATTGTACATAAAATATTGGACAGCTGGTGGCGGATGAGTGCCTGTTATGTTCCTTTCTCTACTTTCTCATTTTTCAATAACATATAACTTCACTAAAAGGAGAAATTTATCTACCTCTCCACGGCTAGCCAACAGTATAAACGTCCGAATTTAATGATCCAGTTAGTTTAATGATCCAGTCAGAAGCATTTTTGTACATTCACATATTACCATATCAAATGTATAGTACATACGATTCCTCATACGAAAATAATTTAATTAAATACACTGCAGCAAGCTAACCTTTTTGAAGAACCTGAGGCCGTGGCTGCGATGAATTAGAGGTCTGCGACCCGTTGTCAGAAGTCGCAGCTGCTAAATCTTGAGCCTTTACATTAGCTGCCTACATAGATTGATTCACAATGCAGAGTTTAGTTACATTTTAGTTATCGGTTCAAATTAACTCCAAGAGACACACAAGCAGAGAAGTTTCCAAAATGTCACATAGGAAACTCCAAAGTTCTCTTTTTTGGTGATAAAATGGAAAATTAAATAACTGAATAATAAAAATAAAAAGAACCCTGGTAAACGCCACGGCGGCACAAGCCAACTCGAGGCGGCTTTTAAGGAAGGCCTGGTACTCATCAGAATTCACTGGAATAGCAGGCTGTAAAGAGCCCCCAGCCACTGCCGCCGCCATCTTCCGATGCTGATTAGAATTACCATTATTAAACTCACTTTGGTTGGACTGATGACTATTGTCTTCGATCTCAACAACGTCAGCGTTTTGAAGATTCATCGATGACGCCGGGGAATGATCAGTTGTGGCGACTTCCTGTAGGAAACGCTGAAATGCCCATTCTGATGAACTCCGGTTCATCTTCATCGCCTTCGATGAGGAGGACGATGCAGCAGTGGCGGAGGACGAAGACTGCTCCTCCTCTTCCAAATCCAGCCGGTTCGACGGTGGCTGCGGCGACCAAAATGGGTCTGCCATCTCATCCACTGAGAACACCCTATCCATCTCCCTCTCTGGGATTTCTTCTCTCTCTTCCTAAAAGTAAAACTCGTCAAATAAAAAATGTTGTTCAGCAATTTGCTGGATTTTATGAAAAATATAATTGTGGGGTCGAAAAAATGGTCAAAATGTTCAAGATTTTTTCCCCAAATGACACAATTTTGTCTGAATTTTCTTGAAATTTAAAGCAGAAAAGGTGGCTCCGGCTACTTATTTAGAAGTTTGTTTTATTTTAATTCTATTCATGCAAGTGGTACATACAAAATGGGAGAAATAACAAAAATTTATCCTTTTTATGAAAGAACTCTACTACATATACACCATATATAGTACACTCTCCTCACGTAAAGGGGCTCACAATTTTTTTTAATCATGGTAGGTCTCCTTAGATGTGATGGGGCTGCCACCATTGTTCTTTATGAAATAATAATCAAAGGGATGTCTACGTCATAGTTATCAGATTATTGGTTCATCGGTGGATCATTGTCTGACTATAATTTTAATTTTAAAAAAAATTTTAAAACAAAAGGTTGAATATATTTTTTTGTCATTTTTATTAAAGCTGAATATACGTGTGCTCGCACAATCTCTTGTTCAAATCTAAAATAAAATTTTGCTGTGGATCGTTCGATCAAAAATCTATTAATATTGAACCGGTTTCGATTTTCGTAAACTCTTCCGGTTCGAAGTGTTATTAAACGTTCTGAGCGATTCTTGACTGGTTCACTTGCAAATAGATCAAATAACTCCATGTCCGATTCAATTATGATAACTATGGTCGATGTCGAACATAACCACTTTCTCTTAATACATTTAAATGAAAACAAACCTCGTCTAGATGATCAATATTGATAATAGTCCGAATGGGGCAAAAAAACCCTCCTCGAACGGGTTGGCGAGGCTGGGCAGGGCGAGGTTCACCGCCCCGT